CTAATGCATAGATAGTATAGGCGCGTTTTAAGAAACGAGATTTTTACTACTTATATGCGTTGTTCTCTACAAGGATGTCAGAAAAGAGAGCATATGGATAGTAGAAGAGTGTTGTCCTGGTCGCTTAGCTATATACACAATCGATAATATTATATCTTCAAATTCTTTAGATGCGGAACTTACGCACTCCAAAAACAAGCGGAGAATCTAAAGTCGAGTGTCCCGACTTTGAAACACCCTGTACATATGTATGTGTAGAATAATTAAGCGTATCTATGCGTGTTACGGGAGTGGGAAATGGAGGGAAATTCCAAAAATGCGGGACTAAAATTTAGTGTCCCTAGGTATAGTGTCCCTTATAGTCTCCGAGATATAGGTGTTCATACAGACGGACGGACAGACAGACATAGATCGATCAAGAATGTATATACTTTGTGGGGTCTGTTACGCCTCCTTCAACCTAATATACTCTTGTATGTACATTTCATGTCCAGAGTATAATTAAATTTGTGGTGCCCTGCCCTGACCAGCCCAGCCCAGCCCAGCCCTGATCGCATCTGATCTGATCAGGCAAGCTATTCACGTAGCGCCTGCCCATGCGCACATAAAAGAAACTAAGCAGCTAATTGTTCATTGTTCGTTGTCATAATAGTAATAACACTATATTTCATAGTTACACAGACAGCTCGACAACCGTCTGCCTGTCTGTCTGCCTGGCCGTCTCGATGATTGCCAAAATTGGACAGTTTGGGCTTTTCGCCTAACGGAGCCTAGCAATGCCATTGAAATTTGAGACATGATCGCAGCGCGACGATTAATGCCAGCAATGGGCCAACTACGGCAGGGCAAGCCAATCGGCAATTAGCCATGTTGGCCAAAAACAGTGAGCGTCACAGCACGGCGATGCATGTAAATGATACGCTGACAAGCCCGATCCATCGATGAATACAAGTAGTTTGGTCGATCGGCCAGTGGGCCAAGTTTATTTATGGCACCGCCAAGCCACTGCTGTCAATATGGCGCCCAGGTCTTGTATGGAACTGGAACTGTTCGCAGGAATGTGTACGGACGTGGCGGGTGGGAATACCATTTTTTTTTTAATTCACACTACCCCAGACTTGGGTATGGGAATAGTCTAACCGCATTCTTAAGGCTGATAATTGCCGAATTATTTAGAAAGAAATTTTAAGCTTTACAGCTATTACTTTGCTAATAGCAATTCGTTAGCAGCCTTAAATAGATCAGAAGATAAGTTTTCTCAGGGCAATAGCATACAAATTTGACAACTATCTATATTTTACTTATGTATAACCATTTCCCATTGGGGGGAAGTATCACACATTTGTAGACACAAACAAAACTCAGTTTTGGGAGGGGTTGGAATACACAGTTAGTTTTGTTCTATGTAATGTACTTAATTTACTGAGTGGAAGAATAGCAGTGTTGAGAATAATTTTATTAGATAGATTGCTACTTGAAGGAATGTATCCTAGTCTGAATGAAATAAGTATTTGAAAGAATATGCTTCGAAGCTTGGCAGAGCTATGTTGGCATATATAATATATATATATATATATATATATATATATATATAATATATATGTATATGTTGAGCTTGTCAAAACGTATTTGTCTGCGACATACTACGCTTTTTCATTCGACCGTTTGTCTGTCTGTATGAACGTCAATAACTTTTAAACTATTAAAATGCTGACCAAAACTATAGCAAGCCATATAAAGTCTCATTAGTATATGGCTGCCATGGAAGCAATCAGTGTAAAATGCATATTTAGTCTAAAGAATTTTTTCTCATACCAAATTTTTGTATTTACAAGATTCTATAACGCCTTACTATAATCGTCTTCTGAAGTTCCAACTAAATCCGTGCTTTTTATTATAAATGTAGAAGAGGAGTCTCAGTCAGTGCAAAATGCATTTCTAGTCCAAAGAATTTTTTCTCATACCACAATTTTGTATTTACAAGATTCTATAACGCCTTACTATAATCGTCTTCTGAAGTTCCAACTAAATCCGTGCTTTTTATTATAAATGTAGAAGGCAGGGTATTCCGTAGTCAAAACAAATTGAGTTCTAGAGAAGTAATTGGATTAAGAGTTTGCGTTTCATCTGAAAAGCTAATGAGACTCTCGCTCACAAAGTTGCTGATAATTTGTATTTGCTCTTCAAGTGCGTGGGATTGTCATTTTTTACAGCTTCTAGCAGTTAGTCGTCATCATCATTCATTAGCTTGTTTCGCTGACCATAAACCCACATTTGCGGACCCGGTCCGCGCAATTTTTTTTCGTGTCCGTATTCGTGCGTGTGTCTGTGGCGTGTTCTTTGTTGTTGTTGTTGTTGTTGGCTGGCCATTTAACGAAAATGAACTGAAATTAAATGCATTTGACCTAAAAATAGCTCAGATGCATATGACTAAAGAAAAAAAATAAAAAAACTAAAAAAAAAACACCATTTACAGGGCGAGCCATTCAACAATAGCACGCAAACGTTTCAATTTTTATAGTTTCCTATGAATCTGATTTCTGCACCCTGTTGCATGTTGTGTTTTGGCCAAAACAATGTTAACGACCATGTATGTATGTACGGCTTGTACATAGAAGTGGTTCCTTTAATGGCAGCAGCCACAACACGCAACATCAAGCGCATATGTAATTAACCCAAATTGCAGTCAGCACCGCCACCCCTTTCCCTGCCCCTGCCCCTCCGGCCCACTCCTTTTTGCAGTCAAAACATTCAATTATGGGCAGGAATAGAGCAAGAGTTGCAATATTATTAGAAAAACTAAAAATACATGCATTTAACACAATGTTGCAAGCACGGCAAAAATCAACTGTGTGGGTCTACGTGTGTGTGTGTGTGTGTGTGACCCATTTATGACACACACACACACACACACCTACACACATATACATATATACATACAGAGATGTAGGCGTAGACACGCATACAAACGCGCACATCCTGCCATCAAAGTGCTGCTGCCAGCGTTTAAGTCGACGTCATCGTCATACTTGCTGTTGTTGTTGTTGTTGCCGCTGTCACCAGCAATGCGGCGGAGGCAGCGTTTACTCAGTTTTCCAATACTAACAGCTGTTTTCATTCCATATATGTTGTATGTGTGTGTGTCATGTGCTTGTGTGGTCTGGTCTGGTGGGGTGTGGTGTGGTGTGTTGAGGAGCAGAAGCTGTTGCATACTTCTAGGCTGCGCATTAACCTCAAATTAAATTGCTGGAAGCATTTAAAGCGGGTGTCCTGTCCTCTCCTCCCCCATCACAGTGCCAGCGAACTCCACATTTAAAACATTTAAAATCATAATTAAAAATACACACGAGCATATTCTCGATCTTCTGACGACATCTCTTTTTAATTAGTTTTGTTAGTGTGTTTGCCGACAAGAGGTGATTTTTTTTTTTTTCTGCAGGTGTGACTTTGCAACGATTCCATATACATACCTGCAAGCCATGAGGGAGCGATGCAGGACTTATAAACAGGCACTTTGTTTCTCAGTGTTAGATTAGGAGCCATCTCATTTTGTTTATTCTAACACTTAGTGTCTTTATAACAGCGGATATATATAAGAGGTGAAGATATGAAGAACAATGAGCAACCAAGGCCTTCAGGCTGATTTTTCACGTACGAGTACATATTATAATTTGATCTATAAGTAAGTTTTACAAAGTGGTTCACATATTGACTTTTGTGAGCAGCTGATGTGGAATTGGAATTTTCAAGGAGCTGCACGGGTTTGTCATAAATTGGCGGTGTTTGGTGAAATGTTTTCAAGTAAGAGAACTTGCTCAACTTGTTGAGTAAGTTTTGTATATCTGTTGGCTTTTAGATTGGATTTGTTGTCTTCTAAAGGCCAATGTATTTGTTTGAAATACGAAAAAATTTTGTAGCTGATGTATTGCGTCGCCAACTCGATAAGCTTGTATTTGTTAATATTGCACTTATTTTATCTTTATGTTTTGTGTTATGTTTCGTCAAAAAGTGACCTTTATTTAACACCAAAACCCGTACATTTTGGTTGCACTTTGTTACTTGAGTCTTATCATTTGGATGCGGGTGGGCGACAATGCGGGCATTCATAATTCAAAAAGCAGTTCTTTTCTTTCTTATCCTCAAATGTACAAAAATAGCCTTAAGTGAGTGACAGCTTACTACTTATATGTAATGCAGGCATACAGATTATAAACCAAATAAGGGATTGAAAAAATAAAAGGCGGATTTTCATAGATTTTCCTAATAATCTTTCTCCCGCTGTTAACATTTCATTTAGTTTATTTATGCACTTGGTATTGTTCCCACCCTAAGAACCTAATTTGAACATTATTTATAAATAGTTGACGTTTTTTGGAAACTGGCAAGAAGAATGGAGAAATGTCACGTTGAAAACAATGCATTTACTAGTTGATTCAATACACGTCTAAAGCTATACAGTACATACTTGTTTAACAAATAAATTTACGCTCTTTAAAATATGCAACTACAATCCATTTGTTAATCATAATAATCGAATAATTATGGTGAATAAAATACAAACTAGATCATGATAAATAGCCCCTACACATTACTACTGCAGCGTGTTGACGAATAATGTTGTTTTGTTTTTTGAGTCGCGCAAAATCATAAATGAAAAATCCATTCCATTTTTTAATCAGATGTGAAACTAATTATCCTATATGTCCTTATATACATGCGAGTATCTGTAATTTTTGATTGATCTTCATTAGAAAGTAAATGATTAAAACACTTTGTTTTACTTTAGTTCAATTTCTTAATACACACACACACTACTATACTCGTAAATGTCCCATTTGGCTTAAACCCTAATGGAAACTCGCTTGCTTAAGAAATGTATTCGAAATTTCCCAAAAATAATTAAAATTAGTTCTCCAGATACACTAATTCTTAAATAAAATTTAGTGGGATGCAACTGGCATTAACATACAATATACATATTATTATTTTCCCATCCACAGCAGCAGCGCCGATGGTCTAAAGATGGTGCACAACCATGACGATCCCATGAACAAAATTCCACTCAAATCGTCCAGCGGCTTGGATGACGACGAGAAAAATGGCGGCGAGCTCATGCAGGACACTGAAGCCGCCGAGGAGGCGCGCCGCGAACAAATGTATGTTTCTAAATTCGAATACGGGCGGGAAGTTAAACGTTCTCCAACGTTCTAGGACTACTCGTTAATTTCGAAATTTGTTGCTTCCTTTTTATTTTCATTAAAGTTGGTGGTGTTATTCGCTTTCTTTTATTTTTTCAGGCGCGCCAACATGCTGGCGTGGATGAAGAAGCTGACCATTGTGCTAATCTGTTTCATTGGCATCGCACTCATCAGTTATGTCATCATAAGTCTGTGCTTTAGCGGTAAGTTAACTAATGAGAGCTGGAGCTGTTGCCCGTCGCCATTAACACACTCCTAGTTGGCACTAAAACCACACTTACTGTGTCATCAGTCATCAGTCAAAAGCCACACGCACACACACACACCCACACCCACAGAGCCCAAATCGTTGTTACTATCGTCGCTATCATTTCATCTACATATGTAGTTATGCATGCTTTGTACACACACGCACACACACACACACAACCGGAAGCACGTACTCATCACGCACACTCGCACCCACGCACCCTTATACATATTGTCAACACATCTACGACGCACAGTGGTTCAAATTCCTTTAGCAGCGGCCAAAACTCTACAACCTTGTGGTATCCTTTTTTTTTTTAAATTATAGTACATTTTTTTCTTTGTTATCCGACAAGTAACTTTCAAGAAATTCTATCTAAAAATTCTAAATTCAAAATCATGGCAGAATTGATTGCGTTCCAAAACACAAATATCCTATTGGCTAGCTGTTGGGTTATATACAGATTCGAATCAATGTCAATTCTAGTAGATTAACAAATTGGTTCCAAACTAAACAAGACTTTTGGAATAGGGCATCTGTATGTGATCAATGGGATGGAAAGATATTTACATATATAGTATTTGTATCTATCTACTTGCAGAAAAAGTTTCATGACATTTGCGGAGTTATTGTTTCTTAATTGGGAGTAGTTGATCGTCGATGAAAAAAATGAGCCTCGAATAAAGATAATTGATCAAATAGTTTTTGGGTGATATATGAGTGTATACGAATGTGTGTATATCTCGTGGCAGAGTAGTGGAATTCAAATTTATTTGTGGGAAACAGTTTTGTTGGCAAGACTTTTGTCAAATTGTTGACAGGAAATAGTTTGTATTTTCTTCACTATTTGTTAAAATAAAATGTTTGCTTAGTATTTAGAAGAGGAAATAAACAATTTAACACCATAGATGTATGTATATTTAGAAGCTGGATGAATAGTAATTAATAGTTATTATTATATATCGTACTATACAAGTATTTTTTCACTTCCAACTATAAAAATTCCTTAAGCCTCAATTATTTTTGCTTATTTCTACAGTCAGCTAAAAAGTTTAGATTCAATTTTCTCAGCAAAAAAGTGAAAAGCGAACGGGGATTTGATGCTGAATTATCCCCAAGACTAGCTATTTCTTTAATTTTTAATGTAGACAACTCTTGTTTTCCTAAATAATTATGTTGTGTCTCTGAAACAACACAAATGACTCGAGAGATAATATTTTCTACTATGTATATCATATGAATATTTAATTCACAGGCTTTTCTTTTTAGTTTTGGCCGATGTATTTGAATTATTTCGAACCACTGTTTGAAGCACATACAAGTACATAGCTTTTTATTAGAGCACCCTCTCTCGTTTCTGCTATGCCGTTTTGTTTTGCTTTTATTTTATTTCCTATAATTTTCTTTCTATTTTGTGGCACAAATTTATTGACAAAAATCTTTACACTCAACTCTCAATTCTAACTTTAAAATACTAAAAAAAAACGAATAAAAAAAATCAACAAAAACGACAACAAAAACAAATGCACCGATTTCATATAGACTGGCCAAAGTCTACACCAAATAACAAAAACAGCACCAACCACAACAACAACAACAACAACAGCAATAAAACAGTAGCCACAGCAGCGATAGCAGCAACAAGCAATTTAGCAGCGGCAGCAGCAGAAAATGTTGCAAACAGCACACCAGATATTTTAGCGACTGAAAGCACTGCAACAGCCCCAGAAGCTACAGATAGCTTTGCAGCAACAACAACCACAACAACAACAACAACAACAAGAACAACGACAACAACTTCAAATACACCTTTAACAGCAACAACACCAACACCACCAACACCACCAACACCAACAGCAACAACAACACTTAGCACCACAACAGATTCCACATTTAAAAATTCTACTTTAACAGATGAGCAGCCATTGGAGACGAGCAGCGCCACCAGCGACAGCAACAACAACAACTTCCAAACAGGCGATATAAGCGATGCAGCAGCAACAACAGCAACACCCCCATCACCCCTACAGGAGGCACTGCCTCCCTCAATTGCCGCCTCAACATCGCCGACGACGCCGCCCCCCGCACTAGCGCTGAATCCCCTGCTCGGCACTCCGGACACGGAAGATGAGAATTTCAACTCGAAATTGGGGGTATTCAAACGCGCTGCCGTCTGCTCCGACAAAGAGACCTGCAGCCAAATCGGCAGGTGGGTGTACGATTAATCGATTAATCGAATTGAGCTTTTTTTTAAGTATGACATTGAACAATTAACTAAAGAATGATAAAACGTGAGATGTTTATCCACTCGTTTGAAATCCTTCCTTTACATAATATTATATAGGTTATTAGCCAGCCCTTGATTTTTGAGTAACAATATTCGGTTGGGCCATCGGTAATCCATAGATATTGCAAGGCATAGAAGGCTTTGCTTCATTTACATGATTCTGAAAAATGATGAACGCCATAAATAGCTGAATATTGAGAGCCAACCCTCAAATATTCCAAAGGACAATTATTTTTCCGAACTTCGAAAGTTTTGTATACCCTGTAGGGAAGAAGGTTTAGGTTTGTGCCAAGTATGTAACCGACCCCATATATACTATACATATATGCTGAATCAGCATGACGAGAGAAATCGATCTAGACATGTCCGTCCGCCCGTCCGTCCGTCTGTCTGGATGAACGCCTGGATTTCGGAAACGGCTGAGCGTACATAAACCAAACTTGGTATACAGGCTAGACTAGATAGATAGACTAGTCCCTAGTCTATACAAGTTGATTTTATTTTTTTCGCTCTCCCTGCTATAGAATTTCGCCAATACCGTCCACATTTCAAAAGCTATATATGTAAACCAAATTTATATATAATTATCTAGTTTTGCTTCGAATTTCATCCAAATCGGTCAATTTTAAGAAAAGTTCCACTGTCGGGCTTGCTCGACTGTAGCGTTCTCCCTTGTTTTTTGGCAGCATTTATAAATATTGTTGGGTTTGATGAAACATTATATTGCTGAATTAGGAGGTGTGTCGAAAAGAAAAGAAGATATCGGAGATTTTTTCATTAATTATTTTTAAAAAATTTTTAAATAATTTCGACAATTAACCGGTTGTTGGCCAGTGTTGGATGCCTTCCTCTGGGAGTGGGGGCGAAAACTCTTATTTATTCGAAAGTGTTTTTTCTTTGTTTCTAACTTTTTCATGGGTTACGTAAAATATTTGATTCTTTTATATATTAATTTTGCTGTTTTTACAATAACTTTCATTAATGTGTTTGATTCGAAAGTTGGAAATTCAATTTGGTGAATAAAAGGGGTACTTTTTTTTGTACATTTTACAAATGCAAATGCGTGCAAATTATTCGTCTGTGTGACCACATATTAAATGCTTTTACGAGTACTCGCAATTGATTGTAATTTCATTTCTTCTCAGCAACATATTGTCGCGCAATGGCAGTGCCGTGGACGCTGCGATTGCGACCCTTTTGTGCAACGGCCTGACGACCATACAGAGCATGGGAATCGGGGGCGGCATGTTGATGAATGTGTATGTGCGGAAGACGAAACATGCCTTCTCCATAGATGCACGCGAAGTGGCGCCTTTCGATGCTAAGCCAGAGATATATGACGAGAATCCGGAAGCCTCCTACGTCGGCCCCCTCAGCATTGGTGTGCCCGGAGAACTGATGGGCTACCACAGAGCCCACGATCAGTTTGGTAAGCTGCCATGGCGAGAATTGGTGGAGCCCTCGCTGGAAATATGCAAGACCGGCTATTACATGAGCCGTCATCAGGCTAAATCGGTGCGTCGGGAATGGGATGCGCTGAAGAACAATACGCATTTTAAGTGAGTAATATGATTAAGAACTGATTAAGAAATTCATAATAAGATCGTCACGAAACCAGAGCAATTTGCAAAGACCGGACTTACACGAAGCTCGGACTTTCGGGTACCTTTCTAAATTGAAATCAAGGAAAACAAATTTTTAACAATTTCTTTGAGAAAAATCACAAAACACGTCTATAATTTAAAATTAATCGATTTTAAACAATGGTATGTAATCAAAACAGGACAATATTTAAAGGTAAAACCTGAAACGAATGATCCCTAGAAATACAAGCGTCAAAAATGTCTGATATTTGTTTTGAACACAAAAGGCTGTGGCTTTTCGAAATTAAAAATAATTATAAATATATACTATATATATCGATTTACTCGTGTATCTTTTATTGAATGAAAAATAACAAACTGGAGCCGAGAAAAAGTTTACTTCTTATACTAAAACCGAATGTTTTCTTGACAAATGAAAACGATTTTTCAAAAGTGAAATTGCCCATTGATCAAACCAATACTGACACCATAGCTCATCAGATTTATGTCGACGCTACAAAGTATGCGGAAATATAAAAAGTAACTTGTGTTGAATCCAAAAACAAAAAATGTTAAAGCTTCATCCCATCAACTTAAAGATTTTGTGAGGTATATTTTATAGTCAAAAATCATTATGGAGTTCGGAAAAAAATCTTCTCATATATACTATATGTAAAAACGATTTATCAAAGCTAGAATTATGTAGAATTGAGTTGCTTCCAAAAGACTTTTAATTTTATCTTCTCAACAAATTATTTTGAAGTCCAATAAAGAAAATAATATTAATGACATTCTGAATTTGTTTTTGAAGCAAACATTTCAATAATTTCTTCGACTTTTCAAATGAACATACGAGTCTGTATATAAGTTCGGACTATCAACTTTTCATTACATATTCATTATCTATCGATTTAGCTATGTATTTAACCATAGCTGTATAACTTGTATTTCCACAAAAGTGGTAGTCGTCGTGTATTCTTTTGCCACAATTTGCATTTCAGAACTGTTTCTAAAGCTTCAATAAAGTTTAATATATCACTGTATCCAATTTTTTTTTGTGGTATAACGCCAATAATCCAATAAAATATTTGAAGCACCCATTCCTGATTCTAAATAAAAAGGCACGAGTATAAATTCAACAATAAATTAAAGTCGCTATACATCCCTCCTTCATATACTCGTATCACATATTATAATATTGTCTAACTTATTTAATAAAATCTGCCCGCCTTTTCAGGTCGATGTTTGTCAATCCGGAGACCGGTGAGCCGCACAACGTGGGAACACTGCTGAAGCCAACGGCGGAACTCTGCAACACATACAAATTACTGGCGGAAAACGGACCCCTTAGCTTCTATAATGGCACCTTGGCCGATCTGGTGGTGGAAGATCTACAGGATTTGGGCAGCATCATCAGTCTGTATGATCTGCAATCGTATTTCGCTGATCTCGTCAGTTCGATAACGATGCAGTTGGGCGACGATACGCTATACGCGATGCCACCGGTCAGCGGCGGATCGGTAGTAGCGCATATATTCAGCATACTGGAGGGCTACAATTTCACCAAAGCCGACATCATTGACGATGAGGCAAAGGCCCGCACCATACATCGTTTTGTGGAGGCTTTGAAGTTTGGATTTGCGCGTCGTGGCGAGCTCGGCGATTTGCGTTTCAATGATGTGCGCGAGGTAAGTAACAGATAGGGTTAAGTATTAGGTTAAAAAAAGGGTGTAGAATGCACCCAAGTGTTTTGAAAATTAACCCGAATCAAGGGTGAGCTTCAAATCATAAAGAGATAATGCCATAGGGGCTAGAGTATCATTAAAGAGCAGCTAAAGATCTGAGTAAAGGGCAGCAGGGTTCTTGCCAAAATATGGACAGTAAATATAATTTAATAATAAAATTTAATAATTTATAGTTGTCTTACAGAAAACTTGATGGAATACTTTTCTTCCCTTGTTGCATGAGATGATCATTTTTCACATTTCCAGCACTCCATCGGGCATTCTTTTTTCTTCTAATAATCTTAATCTAATCTTAATAGGAGACTGAATGAAACAAGAAAGGAATGCTAAAGTCGAGCAGGCTCAACTCTTATATACCCTGTACCACCCCACAAAAAAGAAATTAAATTAATTAATTAATTAAATTAAATTAATTAACTAAATTAATTTAATTAATTAACTAACATACATACATTTACATTTACATCAGAATCGTGCCTTATGCGTGTTTGTGTACTTGTACATATGTATGTATGTATGTGTGCATTGGGACTGGTTATGTGGCTATAACTTTCTTTCCGATCATTCTATTATAATGAAACTTGGTATACGGCTATATAATCACTACCTACCAAATTTTAGTTCAAAATTCCAAGAATTACGGGAGTTATAGAAAATCGTTAATAGGGGGGGAGTGGGGGGGTGTATCAGAAAAAATAAATAAACTCGATCTGCCTAGGGCTTATAGGAACCTTGATACCTATTTTGGTTATCCTAGCTCTTGTACTTACTGAGATCCTTGCGCTCATACAGACAGGCGGACAGACAGACAGACGGACATGGCTATATCGATTCGTCTTGTCATTCTGATCAAAAATATATATACAACTACTTTGTGGGGTCTGCCACGCCTCTTCCTGCCTGTTACATACATTCGCACAAAACTAGTATACACTTTCACCCTTTGGGTACAGGGTATAAAAAAAACAGCAACAAATGCCAAAAAGTATAGTCTTTCACAACATTAAGATCCTGTCGTGGATTTAAAAACCCAAATATTAAAAATATTAAAAATATTAGTTTTTAATTATTATTGTTTTTCATAGGAAATCGCAAATAGACCTTTTCCCCTTGCCCGAGACTTAGATCGATATATCATTTGATTCCTTTTCCATTTTAGCTCGTCAGTCAGCTGACCAGCGTGGAGTTTGGTTCCGAACAGCGTCTGAAGATCAACGACAGTCATGTGCTGGCCGGCCCACATGAATATGGCGCCCAATTTGGGGCCGATGAGGATTACACCGGCACCTCACATTTATCCGTGTTGGCGCCGAATGGTGATGCCGTTTCAGTAACCAGCTCGGTGAACAAATAGTGAGTAGTTTCTGGAAACCAAATGAGTTCTTTTATCTGATGATGTGATGATATTTTGCAGCTTTGGTTCTGGCATGATTGGCCCTCGCACTGGCATCGTTTTCAATAATGTAATGAACGACTTTTCCGTGAAGAACAATTACTTTAACTTGCCGATGGCGCCGAGCAATGGCGTAGATTCGCGCAAGCGACCCATGTCGTCAATGTCGCCGATGCTGCTGACGAACAGCAAGGGCGACATCCGCTTAGTGATTGGGGCTGCCGGTGGTTCGTTGGTGCCAGCCGCAATTGTGGAGGTGGCGGCGCGTGTCCTTTGGTTCGGTGAGGATCTAAAGACGGCTGTCGACGCGCCCCGATTCTATCATCAGCTGGTGCCAGATGAGCTGGAGTATGAGAAGGATGGCTTCAATAAGCATGTCCTCGAACTGCTCGAGAAGCGGGGGCACAAGCTGAAGATAGTTCAGGAAAAGAACACAGTTGTTTGCGCAATTTCGCGCAACGAAACGGCAATTTATGCCAATGCCGATTTCCGCAAGCGTGGCGGTGTGGCGGGATTCTGAGCTCACATACTCCCAAAATCACACACACACACCCATACACATATACACACGAACACACACACACACACATCAGCCGTCAAGTATCAAGTGAGATTACATTGTGTAAAGAGCAGAAGAGCAGAGGAAACGCGACGAGGCGAGGCAGGAAGTGCACGCAAGAAAAGTTTTACACGCCTTCAGTGGAAAGCGCAAGTGAAAAGTATTTAAGCTAGCTATGTTTTTTTTTTTACATACATACATATACATGCATATATCGTACGTTATATAAATTTATATACTATGTTTCCTACTCTACAATACAAAACAAAAACAAAACGATCAAGAACCGAACATTTGTATTTCACATTCTACATAGATAATTATTATTATTATTATTTTTTTTTTTTTTTGTGTAAATTGCTCGCACTTTAAGAATATTTTGTATCATATTTTAAAGAACATGAGAGACCACGACAAAGTGCATTTTCTCAAAGTCAATCAATAAATAAATAAATAAAGTAATGTCTAGAACTCCTAACAATTTCAATTTTCTATTGGCCTATTCACCAAAATTTTTTAGCATTTGAGATAACACTTACTTTTAAAAATGTATTACAAACAAGTGGAATTTAGATCACATTGTCAGAATATCAAGTGGCACTAGAAAAACCAAATTTAGTTACGATTTCTTTATAAGAAAAAAGTTGTCCGACCAAGATTGATTGCTGCACTGAGGCTATGTATGGTTTGTAATAAACTTGCTATGCGTGTAGATAAGATAAGTCTACTTACCAAGTTTAGTTTCCCTAGCTGTTATGGTTCAAAAGTCATCGGTGTTCATACAGACGAACAGTTGGACAGACTGTCAGACGTCTGTATGAAATGAGTAGCGATCGAAATAATCAACTCGAAACTGGAATTTATTTCAATCATCTGGAAAGCACATATTCTAAGATGAGTATCGAACCAACGAAGGATCAAGAAAAGAAGAAGACTACGACTAAAAATATTGAAATATAATTAAAATGGCGCTAGAGGCTACATAAAAGCTTAAAGCAGTTTAATACGCCTTTATCGTTAAAGAAACTTAAGAAATTTGCCCATATCTTGAATTATTGGTCATTTTTTGCAAATCATGGAAAAATATGTACCCCAATTAAAAAATGTTCTTTTAAGATTATGTTTTTAATGGCAATTTTTGTTTGGGTGTATAATTGAATTATATTTGTTCCGGAATACTAAACAATCAGTTGGTCTTAAATGCTAGATATATTTGCAAATTAAAATAAAACATACACATGGTATATGGTCGAAAAATATTGAAACTACCTAGAGTTTTATAAATCAAATCTGCAAGTAATCTGCATGCAAGTTTTATAAACGAATATTAATTCCAATAGTTTCATTGGGAATATTTTTTGTATTCTTTACAAACCGTTGGCTTGTCATTCGAGAGCGTTTTACATTTCTTGCGAGTATATTGGATGTGGGTTTTGGAGTTCACCTGACTTAACTTTCGAAAGCAGAAAAGGGAAGCACAAATCAGAATTGATTTCGTTGTGCCACAACAGAGCTATACGAATTTTTAGATATTTAGAAAGAGTAGCAAATCAGAGAGACCTATAAGTGGAAAATATTTTAGAAACACTCTTCCACGATAATTTTATAGTCGGATTAAACTGTCTGGCATGATTCAACAGCTAACGACCCGATGAAGCAACAGGCATGGAAGCTTCAACTGAACTCGATCTGAATAAAAAGAAATGGATTTCTTAAAAGCAAGATATACTTCAATCCGATCGAAGTAACAACTGATCTGTGGAATTATATTTGGCGTTGAATCTTGCTGAAAGCGAAATATAAAATACTTCCGTTGAGCACTTGGATCGAAAGGATGAATATGTCTATTTAAGTACAATTTTTTTTTGCAAAAATACGAACAGCTGTATAACACAAACAAATCTGCATATATATAAACGATTTATTTTATGTTCAAAAGGCATTCGGAGTGAATAAACAAATGGTAGCCTTAGCTATTGCACTGATAAACATTTAAAGATACATGAAAGTGATTTACAAAATTTCAGCATCAAAGACAGTTTAGTCCCAAATGATAATTCGAAATGAGTTACAAGTTACTAAGACTATATAAATACCATATACCATGCAATTTGTTGTTCTTAGTATATAATTGAGCTCTGCTATAAAAAAAAAACTCAATTTGTTTGTCAATTGTCGATTTAACTCAATTATGGAAGTCACCCGATGTGGGAGATCTTCAAAGTGTATTGCGTTGTATTGAATTGGTGACAATTTTATATATATTTTTTGTATAATTTAAATACAACTACTATTTATATATGCAAAATAAATTCAAAAGTTTATCTACAATACAATAGCCTTAAACATACATACAAATATATTTATATAAAAAAAACTCATATACACACATTAAATTAAAAACTAACTAACTATAAAGGCAGACATCTATTAAAATAAATGCTTTCACTATATGTATTTAGCTTAACATCAGACATAAGAGTTCTTGGCAAACAGGGAAGACGATGCCAAGTGCGAACAGTTCCTTAGTATAGGCAGGCAATCATAATAGAGACAAGCTTCACATTGTTCCTTTGCTCCTCACTTGATGATAATCTCAGCTGGTGGTAAAATGTTGTCGCCATACAGACAATACCAAATGCTGGAATACCAGATGGTACGATCGACCCACTCACTGCCGGCCAGCACATGACCAATGAAGGGGGCATCGCGTGATCTGTAAATACACAGAGTTATTTTATTATCATGATTGAATGAAATGGATGCCATCTTCTACCTCATTATTTGCGCCTGCGTGCGCTCCACAAATGTGATGGCCCAACTCCAGGGGAAGTCGCGCTTGCGCTCACATCCCAAATAGGCCGTTGAGCTTTGCAGGAAGACCTCACGCACAATGGTTGTCTTATCGTTTTTGTCCTTCTTGGAGACCACAATTTTTCCGTCGCGTAATTCGCACTGCAGGTTCTTAAAGGTCTTGGTCCGACTATCGGCGAAGCGCAGCTCCTTGCCGGGTGTCACTGTGGCCAGATTTTTGACCGCCCGTTGTACCTCACGCAACATATCAATGGGACGTATGACGAGATAATTGTGCTTGCGATCATCTTCGGGCCAGTACGACCAATTCAGAATGACATCAAAGACCCTGACGTCATGATGCAACGGACGCTCCAGACTATCGTTAAGTATGACCTCATAAAGGGTGAGTTGATGGGTCGCCAAACGCATCTTCGAAGCGTACTCCCGGCACAATTCATAGGCAGTCTTTGTTGGCGAAATGGTGGCATTCACTTGCGTCTTCTCCTGCAAAGCAATTCAAATTCAATATTTGGTTTCAACATGAAAAATAAATACTTACTTCAGTGGTATTGTCCGGATTGGGATTGAGACTAATCCAGATTTTAATGTCACCAGACTTCTTCACCGAGTCCTTAAGCGTCTCTGCGGCGGCATAATATTTTTGCAGGCATGACAGCATCGCCTGCTCCTTACGCTGCAATCACAGAATTGTTTTTTTTTTAACAAGGCCACTAAGTGCATTGATTGTTCCAATACAAGCTATAGCATATGTCCCACCAGCTTTAACAACAGTTTACAACTTGAGATAATATCAACAACTAATAATTACCAAATTTGTTGAAGACATCGAAACAAATTTAATTCCAAAAATAAGGAGAAATTTTCCATCGATCGATAGATATGACAGACATAGTTCTACGTTCAGAATAAAGTACCCATAATATAGTTACTTAATACCAAACTTTTAAATATCGTACAAAAACAGAAAAGTTACTCAACAATGAGTGATTTTTGTACCGATCGACGATAAGATACTAAGGTTATACATAATTTGTAATGAACATAGTCTGCATATACTTCGAAAACCCACGTTCTGAGAGTCTAACTATTGTAGTTTAAAAGATATAGATGTTCATACAGGCGGACACGCGTCACCCAAGATGTAAAGTTCAGCATTTAAGCTTAAGCCTCCCGACTTCCTCAGGTTAGTGTTGCTTTTGGGTTTTCGTTATTTATATTTTTGCTTACCATTTCATCGACGCTGACGGGGAACAGATTCTTGTAAAGCAAAATCAGATCACTGAGCACATCAGCCTCATTTTGTGAGTAGATCAGCTCGTCACTCTGTGGATATAGAGGGAACCATTTTAAAGATAATAAACTACATGGGCCATTAGGTCTACGCACCTTCTTTGCCAGCAGTGTGGGACCCCAAATCATGGTTAGATTCTGCACACTCATTTTGTTCTTGGTCTGTTGGGAGCTGATAAACACCAGATGGCCCACAATTCGACGCAGTGTCTCGTGCTCGATGGTGCTGAGACGGGCGAGCAGTTCCCTGTAGACGGGTATTTTCTCGGCAGGCGCCGACAGCTCGGTGACAAAGACAAAGCTCTCTGTCAGCTTACCCAAGAGACGTTCGGGCAGGTCGCGCATAAAACGCTTCAGAACATTGGCCACATCGTGCTCATTGTATTCGTTGCGTGTGATTTCGACATTGAAGGCATCGGCACGGAAGGCGGTCATCAGTTTGTGCATTGAGTTCTCAGAGCCAGACTTACGATAAATACCCTCAGACATCGAGCCATGTATATACACAAAATTGATGCACTTGTCCACAATCACTGGCACGTCGAAGCGTGTCAGTTGTTGGTCGGCCAGCGAGAAGCCATTATTGTGGGCCACCTCACGTATAATGTGACGCCAAATTTTAGTCTCACGTGCCGAACTCATGATCATATATACAGCATATGGGGGGCAGTCGATCATCAGCATGGGTCCAGATTCCACATGCAGATTGACGGTGGATTCGTCACTCTCCTTCAGCACTGCACAAGTGTTGGAAGTAAGGAGAAACAGCAGTGTTAGTCACATCGAAATGTTCGTGTGTTTAGCTTATCGAAGCATTCTATAAATGGGGTTGGGAACGCGGCTGCTAGATTTTTATATTCGTTCTCCAATTCCAAATAGAAGAGGAACAAAATAGATTACGTCTGCAAAATGTTGTTTTTCTATAGCTTAAAAATTGTGGATAGTATTGCTGACATGATTATATTGGAGAGAGATGAACTGACTTTTCACAGAATAAAACAAAACTCCTCTTGCCTATGTATTTATAGAGCCTGCGTACCAATTTTGGTAGTTGCAGTTACGGCAGTCACCGAAATTCAGAAGTTCATACAGTCAAACAGATGGACGGACTGACACACATGGCTAGATCGATTTTGTCATTTCTTGATGGGTTGCGAGACGCTGCCTTTTGTCTGATATTCGTAAAAACTAAATATGTATTTTTACCCTTTTTTGCCTCTACTTGTATATTAAGTAACCTATATTAAGTAAAAACCACTGCTGATGTTCATTTCGTAAGTCCATATAAAATGCTGAGTTCTATTACAAATCATCTTTAGGCTTACCAATACAGCGTGCCTTGCGCAAATCCATTTTCTCCACATTGCCGGTAGCCTCGCTGACGAAGATGAGACGTCGTTGGGTCTTGCGTAAGACTAGCCAAGTGCCACTCCATTCTGAGGTGATGGAGGTCTAGGGGAAGGGGACAGTTCATTAAATGTTACGTTCAATCTTAATAAGTATAAATACACCCACCTTCAGATAACACCATCCAGCGCGATAATAGTGGCAAGTGTACTTCACTGGCAGGCTGTTGGTGAGGCTCTCTAGTATTTTTTGCATCCAGACACCACGCTCAGACTCCTTTCCGACACCATAGAGATGGGCCACACGTTGCTGCTTGCAATTACCCGATGAGTTGCTGGTCATGACCAGATTAGGATTGGATGACATGGTCTGTGCGCCGTTGCCGCCACTGCCACTGGCATTGGAACCGTTGCCATTGCCATTTTTGGGTGTCGATGTTGTCAGTTCAAAGCAATAGAAGTGTGTGCTATTGTCCGTGACACGGTTATTGCTCACGCACTGGAGTGTTGTAATGGTGTCCAACGGTATGCATTCCTTGGGCGTTTTCATCTCCTGATCGAGATATGTTTGGAATTGACGATCCCGCAGGATCGCTTTGCGGTTTTGCATTTCTTTCAGTATGTCCTCGACAACGCCGGAAGGAAACCGGATCAGTGGGCCTTCGTAGCGCACCAATAGCGGCGAGAGTCTGGGTCTGGGGACCATCTGCAGCGCAACCTTAACATCGGATTGACGCTGCGCTGCCTTGAAGCTAGCCTTTCGCTGCATCGCACTCACCCGTATCTTCACATTATTGAACACATTCATTGTCTGCTTGAGGACTGATGGTATTGTCGTCGTCGTTGTCGTCGTTGTGGCTGTGGCTGTCGGTGGAACCTGTTTTGACTCACTGGTATTGCCATCACCCCCTATGGCCTCCAGATATGTGGGTGGACTATCCCCCTCGATGTTGAGCTTAGCCGATGGATTGTTGTTGCCGCCAACAAACCAATTGGTGCGATTGCGTGAGGCCGGTGCCAGATCCACCTGTCGTTGGGCACCACTTGCAGTGGTGTTTTCATCCAAACGACTTAGGTAGGGTTTCACACGTGCCTCATCGTCCAGCATGTTCTCCATGCTCTCGCTGAGGAGATGGGCGTTCTGATGTACAATTTGCAGCTTACTGCCACGATCCTCTACAGTTGTTGCTTGTGGCACCTGTGTCGCTGCCGGATTGGATTTACCCTTGACTCTGGGCTCCACCACCCTGCTGTCCTCCTCGGATGTACACATGCTTATATCATCGTGTTCTCGCTTCAGTGTTCCGTACGTCTCCTCCTCTAGCAGATGCTCGAGGAGCAGCAGTTCGTTGCTTTTCTTGGAGCGTGCTAGTGTTGAGGACTTGCTCGTCAGTGGATCAAACTCTTTGATAACCTCTAGTGGAGGTGGCGGCAGCGCTAAATAGCCACCAACAGCGCCTTCACTGCTGTCTAGATCGCCTACACCGTCACTGTGCTCCTCACTGATGCACGTTAGCTCCGACTGAGGTGCCAGAACGTTGCTGCCGACGGTGGCCATTTCGAATACCTTGCCGTAGGTGGCCTCATGATTGGCATACAACGGCTCTGGCGATGAACTGGACTCATCCTCGTCATCCACATTCTCATCGCAGCAGAATTCCCAGGAGTTGCTGCGCTCTGGCTTTGGAATTCGCGCCTCCTCAGCTGCAATATTGGTATGCAGCAGGAATGAACCATCACGCTCAGCCGCCACAGCCGCCAGATTTAGCGCATGGAGCTCCGCCGAGTCCACGTTGGCGTACAGGGAGCGGGCTTCCAGAGAGCTGGCACTTTTAGACTGCACTTCGTTGCGTCGCAGCTGAATGTCTTCGTAGTTTTTGCGTCGCTTTTGTCTTGCCGGTGGCTGTCTTACGTCCAAAGGTGGAAGTGTGGGCGGCGGAAAGGTGGGCATCGGTGGCGACGGTAGGTCTAAAGAGTCGCCCGATGAGCGAATGGCGCCCTCGCTATTTGAATCGGAAATATTACCCGCTGGCTGTGGCTGCTGTTTCAGCTGATTGCGTCGCTGTACTACTTGAGTTGCTTCTAGGGCAAGATTTCTGGCATGCGGTGAGCCCCCAGCGACAGGAGGTGGCACTGGCGAAGCACGCAACGCTTCATCATAGCTGGGCGGCAATTTAGGCTCGAGTTTGAAGCTGCGCGGCACTTCATAGGAACCATCATCCTCCGCCACTGGTGAACTCAATTGTGGTGTTGAGGAAGCCACTGAAGGTCCTGCTCTCGCTGTGCTGAGATCTGATCTGCCCCCACCCGCGGCATTACGATGCAGCGGACTGCTAAAGTGTATCGTATTGAAGACATCCTTGTTGGGCATTGTCTGGGGACGTTCGAACTCAGTTGCCGCACCCATTGTCGTCGAAGTTGATGCTTCGCAGTCGGCTCCAGCTCCCTTGTCTCGTCGTCCTAGTGAGAAATTGTTGCCAAGCCGTTTGCTGACGCGCTGCAGACGCGTCGATGCGTCCGCACTGAGATTGCTGATTGCCTCGGTGGAGCTCTTTAGATTCTTGTCCAAACGCTTCTTTGCGCCCTTGGCCTTGAATGCCACACGCTCGCCAATTGCCTCGCCGAGCAGCTTCGAAGTGCTGCCCAAAGATCGAAGCAAATTCCTAAGAAGAGTAAAAGTCCAAGAAACGAAGTCGAATTAGCGATGACTTCCTCTTTGCGTTAGCAAGGACCCACTTCCAATATGCTAAATGCTAACTAAATGTTAGTAGACAGGTCTCAGAGTTACACCAAACGGAACAGGGGAGTGCATTCTACTTGGCTGCTAAACGCCGACTGCCAAATGAAACAACCTCTAGACTAACGCTAAGTGGAAGTACGAGTACGAGTATTTTCAGCTGGCGTGCCATTGATCTTGAAAGTAGAGCCCTAAATCGGGCGCGGCGCTATTTTTGGAATGCCGCCTTGATTTATTGCGCGTGCGGCAACGGAAGTGGAATGTCGGGCAGCTGCCAGAACTAAAAAACTATAAATAGTTCAGGAGGAATGGGGAGCCAGTCCGAGTGTGTTATTTATAGTATAAGTGAAGTTATTTCATAAAAGGTGGTTTTAATTAAGTCCCATTTGAGATCCGCATAATGGGGAATACGAGTATATACTTGTAGTATGGTTTGAAGTGTGCTTGGGAGGGGGCGGGGGCATTGTGAGAACTACGTGCTAACCAACAATCAATTATAAATAATATGTAGTTTCTGTTAATAACCAAACCGACAAATGAATTAGTTTCAAATATTATCTAAAAACCAAAGTTTAGAGAGCGGCATTAGGAAAGATTGAAAGAACACCAATTTAGACAAAGAAAGTAAACAAAAACAAAAAAAAAAAAAAGAAGAGGAGTGATAATTTTACTTGTCGTTTTGTTCATCTTGCTCATGGATCACAGATTGCTCAGAGAATTGCTCCTCCGATTGATCGGATGCTGTCAAGGAGGACTCAGTGCCTTCGCCCTCGTCCTCGATCTTGATGCCGACCTCGACCTCGACCGCGCCCTCGCTCTGCATTGTTGTATAGTCTACGTACCCGGGTGATGGCGACTTGAACTTGCCGCTCTGCGAGCCCTCGCTTTGGTTGAGCGACGCATTCGACGCGTATCGTGACTGATCCGACTGGTCCACCAATGACTCATCGTTGTGCCCATTGTCGAAGGTGGTGCTGGTTGTGGAGAATTCGCTGGAAATCGAACAGCGTTCCGGTCGTCTGCGTTCCGATTCACTGTTCGACGCTTTGGGCGGAACCTGCGGTGCCGCACGCAACACCTTCGATTCTGTTCCCAGCTGCTGATGATTTGGCTTCGGTGGCACTAGCTCTGGTGGTTTCTCTGGCTGTGCCTGCTGTGGCTCAGGACGCGCCCGTTGGCGTGGTGCTGGTCTGGGTATTGCATAAATGGGCTCACTACCCATACCTCCGGGCACATTCTCGTTGGCATCAGGACCATAGATGGGTTGGGCAGAGGTATCTACGGTTCCTTCGTACGTCCGATTTGGCGCTATGTTGGGAACTATTTTATTTTGATTGCTCGCTGTTGATTTCTCGGCACAGTTGTTTTGCAAATTCTCGGCATTAATGTTGAATTTTTTAAAGCTGTTGTTGTTAATATTATTGCTGTTGTTGTTGTTGTTGTTGCTACTACTGTTGCCAATGGGAGTGATGTCAATATTCTCGTAGTTGTTGGGTCGCAGCTCGGGGCCCAGGCGTCGAGGCGCCGGTACAGGACGCGCCTGCTCCATAACTGGACAACTGCAAGAGAATAAATGAGTTGTGGATGTTAATTAATTGGAATCATCAATGCCATATCCAGAGCTGATAATACGGAAAATTTGGACTGTTTCAGTTTCTTGACAAATACGCGGATTGGCACAATAAATCCCTAGAGAATCTTGGAAATTAACGAGTTGATTTTGAGACACAATCATTTCTCATATGCCTGCACTTTAAATGAACTGCTGTCAGAGCTATATCGATAATCACTGTGGGATTGCGATTTCAAAGTCGTTTGAAGGCAAAGCCACGAATGAAATCTTCGTCGAGCTTAGGACTTGTGAGGACTCGATTTGAAATTCACAAACGTTCATCACTTGGTTAAATGACTTTTGTTTTACTTCAAAAATTGTGTATGAAAAAGATATTGGCCAGGTACGGTATATTGAAAGGCCTGTTTGGAACTCTTCCTTCGAAATTCTAATGAGTTTCCAGAGATTCTGAAACATTATTCTACCACAACCCATTATACATGGCCAGGTTGGAAAACGATCAAATGATAAACGATTATCATTTTGTTTACTATATGGAGCAGTACTGTTCCCAAAGAAGTGAAAGGAGCTCTGTGGAAAGGCGGTGATCTCGAAAAAAAAAAGTTTTCTCAAAAACATAAGTCTGTGTGGAGGACCTTTTGAAAGTATGGCTTGAAAAAAATGTAGAAACGTTGAGCTAACTGAAGACTATATTCTATATTCAAAGTTAATATGTTAAGAAAATAGATTGCAATTTCTAAATATGTAGCGAAATTTAATTTTGTTTGCTCGCCCGTATGCTTGTTTGTCTGTATGAACATCAAAGGCTTTCGAACAATCATAGCTAGGGACACTAAAATTGATATTTAGACTAGTCTTATGCATACGCAGAAGAAGTTTATCAAAAATCATATATATACTTGTACATATATGAACAATTTGCAAGAAAATTAGTTTGATTAACTGAAATTGTTTTTTATACGAAATGATTTAATTTTGAAATAATGGACACAATAATCGAGCAAGAGGTGCTCATATGGACTGACGAGTGTGACAAGAAAATAACTATTTTATCGGGCTATGGTATATTTATTTGTAAGAAATGTTGTTAGAAACGGGGAATTTAATTGGAGAATAATTTTTGTCGCCGACCATCCGTAAGCTACGAGTAATAATCGGGTGGTTGCTCATGATCCGGATTGGGATCATATTGATTTGGATTTTGCGGTCCAAAAGGATCAAATCGGGGGCTAGGTCGTAACGAATCCGGTTGTGATGGGACTTGCAGCAAGTTGCCAGGACCGCGACCAAGCGGATCCAAATCTCCGCGTCCAACTTCGGGGAAGCCATAGGGTCGCCGTTGGTCATAACTCATTGGAACAAATGGATTCAGATGTATGGGTTCGGCCACTCGCAAGGGGTCGACAGATCTCGCAGGCGGTGAAGATGTTTGTGTGGTGACTTCGCGAGAATTTCCTTGGAACACTGGTTCCAAAAGCTCCTTCCGATAACGTTCAACGATTTCCTCTGCTGTCGGCATAAGTGTGAAAATATTGCCTGTAAACGATGCTACCAAAGATTCCGGCTCAAGGCAAATATTTGACACCTGCCTGGTATTGGTGTCCAGTAAGTTAATAACCAAGACGTCCTCAGCTACATGGCCCATTAACAGAAACAGATTCTTGTAGTGTACGTATCGTAGTGAGTATTTTATGTCCCCATCATTCCAACAATCGGGCAGTAGCTCGGAACCGGTCTCATCCTCCAGCAGCGTTTTATCCTCCCCAATACCGATGCAACGGAAACTATGATGTTTAGTGAGCAAAAAATGGGCGAGTGCTATCAATAAATCGGCCTTCTTATTAACACTGTGCTCTATTGTTCTATAAAGCAGGTCCCAGCCATAGAAAACATCTGATAATTTGCTGGATGGGGCACCACCACCAGCTGGACTACTCGTGCTTGGATTGGCATCCATAGTCTAGCGATAGTATTGTGACAAAATCAGATAAAGTTGTGGATGACTGACGAGTGTAAGACCATATTTTTAGCTTTTGTGTGTTGTGAGCTTTTCCAATGATTTCTAATTCTCTGTCTGCCTGATGTTGATTTTCCCTTTGAAAATTTCTATAATTACTTTCATGTACTAGATGTTTCTAATAAATATTTTACTTAGATCATTAGTTCCAAAAGGTGGGACAGACTTAAGAACACCTACAAAAGTGGGGCTCATCGTCGAAATTTTAAATATGTTCGGCCTTTATTTTACACCTCCTTCAAGTATTAGATGTTTCTAATAAAACAATTTACTTAGATCATTAGTTCTAAAAGGTGGGATAGACTTAAGCACACCTACATAAGTGGGGCTCATAGTCGAAATTTTAAATATGTTCGGCCTCCTTCATGTACTAGATGTTTCTAATAAATATTTTACTTATATCATTAGTTCTAAAAGGTGAGACAGACTTAAGCACACCTAAGTGGGGCTCATATTTGAAGCTTTAAATATGTTCGGCCTTTATTTTAGACCTCCCTTTATGTAATAGATGTTTATAATAAAACATTTTACTTACAAGTATATCATTAGTTCCAAAAGGTGGGACAGACTTAAGCACACCTAAGTGGGGCTCATATTTGAAGCTTTAAATATATTCGGCCTTCATTTATAAGACCTCTATCTTTCTATCAGCTTACACACTTCTAGATAGTATTGAATAGGAACTCTGGGGGAAATTCAGATTTTAAATGCTTTCTCTCGCAAGATTGCAGCGCAAAATTGTTTAATTATGAGGACAGAAATAATGAAACTAATTAGGTGTCTTAAATTGCCGTATAATACTATACATACTATAGAGGCACACGTGTGTGTATGTTTGCTTCTTCATTTGCATACTTAAGTGTTGAATTTGCATAGAAAATTGGCAGCACTACGAGGGAATGAACAATAAAGTCGCATTAGTTGGCGATCGGCGAACAAAGAGATTTAGATTTTCTCTCCCTGACTAGTTTCGCGTTCGATTGATCGCCAAATTGGCTTTCACTTTCCGCTGGCCAACTGGTGATCGCTTTTGGCTTTTGAGCTTTACTCTTCAGTTTCTTCAGTTGCGACAGATTGTCTGGTCTGCGCAGTTCTATGAACTTTTCAACGAACAGACAATCGACCGACTCTCGAAACTTTGCCTGCTTGCTTCTCAATGATTTTGTTTTTCAGATTTAATGATCAGCTTGTTGGTTGTTGCTGTTGTTTTTTTTTTGTCTTTCGCTTCACTTCTTCAGCGCCGGTCCAAGGGAAACAGATGAACGCACTTTTTCATGGAGAACTGCAGTGCACAGCATGAATCATTATCATAAAAATGGGAGCAGAGATCGGTTGGGATCGGCTTGGATCGTTTTGGATCGGGAGACGAGCAACTCCAGCATTTCTTGGTCGACTCTCAGATAGATGTGCGAGCACATTTGTGGGCTGATTGGGATTTTCTAGGAACAATTCATGTCTCATATGGGATGATTAATATACACACACATATGTACTTGTATATATCTATAATGCATGGTACTTGCTAGAGCTGTGCGCGTGACAACACAAAAAACCGTCACAATCACGCACATTTAAGATATACAGTTTTCCATTTTCGTTTCAGATATTGCTAAAAAATGTCATACTCAAAAAAGGTTGCTTAAATCAAATGAGTTGATTTATATCAGAATAATAATAGAAGGCATACAAAATACTTTAGAAAATGTTCAAAGTAAAACATTAAGTTGACTGTTTTTTTTAAAAAAGTTTTCTTTTCAGTTACAAATATTCAAATTTGAAAGCCTTTCCCATTCAATACAATGATTGCGATGCTCTGGTTGTCTAATAAACAATTTCTCGGGTGAAATTTAGGGAGTTTTGTAGCTAGTTTTCGCTACTTTTTGAATTTTTGTAATGTCGTGAACTTTGGTAAGCTGTTGGGATCACGCACAGCTCTAGTATTTTTGTATGATTTCCCAGAGCGTGCGTGTGTTTTGTTTTGCTTCGGGCACTCTCTAATACGAATGCACGCGCATTTGGCTGCCAATTCTGTATATACCTTCATGCCTATATACAAGTACATGTGTAAGCATATAAGTGAATTTATATAGTCCATATGTGGAGACGCTTACACACACAACAGAAAGTTTAAATAAATGCAGGAACAGAAACAGTTATAAGTATCCGAAAGTATACCGCCGACTAATACATACTCGTAAATATGTCGGGGTATTTCCAGGGCTTATGTATACATATGTACACTTACATACATATAGAGCGGCATTGCGATAACAATGAAAACGTGAACTCTATATGCAATTATAAATCGCACAATTACACGTACCAGACGATGCCTGTGATATACAAGTATGAATGAACAGCACTAGTCATAGATTTGGTGAGCAATCTATTCGATAGCTACGATCGTACAAAATTTAATTTATCATTCGACAGTGCTCGTAAATGTGTATGTGTTTGTATAAAAGTAAGCCCATAAGTGTGGATCAAGTCGCTATTATTTCAACTGGCCGAGAGCATATTGTTATTAGAAGCTTCACACACTTGGTTTAATTTCGCCAGGTCTAGTGTTATAGTGATTGACCCCGTACCTGCCGGTCTATGCGCCACAGCCCATCAACTGATATAAGCTTTGTTGCACCAATCGATTCTATGGTCAGTCCTGCGCCCCTCCCAAAAAAATCAAAACATTCAATGCTTGTATTCATTTGTTTGAGTAAAAAAAAAACAATATCTTTGGTCAAAAAAAGATTTCTTATAAAAGCGTTGAAGCTCGATTTCCCTCATTTCCGAACTTTTTAGGACAAACTTGAGTATATACATAGATACTATATATGTCTACTTATAAGGAGAGAATATAATACAAAGAATTGCACTCACAAACTACAGAACTTCCTATAATTGGGTTTGAAACTAATTTATTTTATTACATTAAATTTGATTTGTTGGATTATTGGGGTTTTTGGGTACATTGGGATATAGCTACTTGTATAATAACTCAAAATATATACAGAACATAAATATGTTTATTTAACAGCTATTCTTCATTTTAATTCTATTGTTATTTTATAACCAAATCTTACAAATAATTATCATATCTAAATTGTTGTCATTGAATGGTCGGCAAAAATAATTAAAGTTTAAAACTATCAAATAATGGCTAAGTCGTGGGATCATTTAAAAGCTACTTAGCTAGAATAGTTGGTATCCAGATTCTCCTTTGTCCGAGAAAGGACGAGTTTTTTTTTTTTTTTTTTTTTTTTTTTGGAATTCTCCCCCCCTTCCCCCGTTACAGAATTTCGTCAATACCGTCCACATTTCAAAAGTTACATTAACCAAACTTTGCACACATAATTCAGTCATTCAGTCTACTTTTGTTTCAAATTTCATCTAAATCGGTTAATTCTAAGAATAGTTATTAGCGAAACAAATTCTCTCCAGTACAACCCCCCCAAACTGCAGAAACAAGTTCGCTCTTCTTCCTCTTTTTACTTTTGCTGGGCATCACAACAGACGCCAGATGCAGGAAATACTGGAACACCTCTTGTGCACTGCCTAGCTGTAGGCGCACTATTGGCGTATTCAAAGCATGGCAGGTTGCTGAAGATCTAAAAAAAACAACCTATAAACTGATCTCTAAGGTTCTAAAACTGTCTATATATGGCCTTCCACCGACTTAAATATGTCCATACTTATAAGTCATAAAGAATAAGTAGATAGACCTTTTAAAATTATGGTTACCAAAAGAAGTTCCAAATGTGCTGGCTAGTGCTATCAATCTGTTTTCTATATAGCCATCTAGTTTGACATTTCTGGCTTATCAGCTCAACAAAAAACCTTTCAAAATAAAGGCCCATTGAAGTGTTTTGTCGTCGGCTGTCGCCATTAAAACGCCATATGTAAATGGGTTTGTCTCAAAAGTCTCAATTAGTGGCATGTGGCACAAGTGCCTATCACTGATGCAGAGTCGTAGTTGCAGTCGGGCGAAAATTTACATTTGCAAAGACACTAGGCTTTTTATTTCTCTGCATACTCCCCATATAGGCCTTATACTTGTAAACTATAAAAAGAACTGGGAGTGCTATCTGAGCGTCCATTAAAAACTGGCAAGCAAAAATTGACGCATTAAATCGTGTTTGTTTTTCGTGAATTTCACACATTACGTTATTAAGCTTTTTTTTTTTTGTTTTAGCGGCACAAGTGCGCTTCAACTACAATTATTAACACATACACATCGATGCCTATACAAGTATGTACATATGTGCATTTATTTTTGAGCCAAACAGTCCGTAGTTCCGGCGCGAATAAAAACAAAATTGAAAAAGCACGCTTTTTGCAAATATCAGAGCCCCAATACTCTTGCAAATTGTTGCGAGGGAAATTGTTTTTGAAATTGGAATTTTGCAAACATAAATATAACCATTTATTTACATTAGTTTTTACTTACTTTTTGATGAAAAATAACAAATTAATATTAACTTGACTTTCTGCTAACTTTTTTAAGAGTATCTTGGGTTAAGAAACACATTTTAAGTTTTAAATAACGAATGGAAAGTTAATTTAATACAGCCTTTGTTTCAAATCCAATAGTGGGTTTTATAAAATACATAGGGAGTAGTAGAGTCTTCAAACAAATTTCTGAAATTCAGTCATCCATCCAAACGGACAGACGAACGGACATATACTAGATCCATTTGTCTCTTAATATATACATATGTAAGTACTTAATGGGGTTGGATATGCATTTAAAACAATTAACATTTTCTAATGTGCATTTTTTTTCCTAGTCATATCGTGCAGTTTACATTTATCTGCTCACAAATAAAAAGAAGAGCTATTCATGTGGTTAGTCTAGTTAGATTGATAACGGAACGCTCTTATCTAGATAGTGTGTGTACACAAATAAAATAGCATGTACTTATGTACTACTTATATGTACATATTTACGTTCTTTAGAGGTCTCTAAGCTATTGAACCGATCGCTTTGAAATAGTTGCTAACGATGAGGCGCAGGTTATTGTTT